GCGGAGGGTGGGAGGAGCCCATGTGAAAGGCTCAGGGGCTGTTTAACCCCGAGCTGAGCACTGACGCTGCAGCAGTCTTTGCCCAAAGGGCTGAACACGCACGAACGGAGCTGCTCCGGCGGGAGGAAGGGTGGGTTTGCGGTTAAAGCCCAGTACCGGGCAATCAGCAGCCGTGGCTGCTCTCCCCAGCCCTGCCCCGCCCCGGATTTGCTGGGAGGTCTTTGGGCAAATCGCTGCTTATCCTGGGGCTTCAGTTTCCCCTGTCTGTAAAACGGGGATCCTGCCCTGCCGCCGAGTGGAGATGAGGACGGCCAGGCACTGGTGTAATGCCGGGTCTGAGCTGGGGAGCCCAACACGGGGGAGATTAACTCCGACAGCATAGGTCTGAGCAGGAGGGCGGCAAAGCAGAGGAACCCCTCCAATGCTGCAGTACCTGTCTGAGCTGGAAAGCAGACGCATGGCCAGAGGGAGAAGGGAGAAGCTCTTGTAATGCGGCAGGACAGGCCTGACCGAAACCCCCCCCCATTGTCTTTTGTCTGGCCCTAGCAGAGTCCCTCTTTCTCACACCCACCCCCTGCATTTCTTTCACCCTGGGCTTCCTCCTTCGCAAATCCCTCGCGTGGTCTTTGAACGGCACAAGTGGGGTTTAGTGTCAGGAGCGGTTCGGCAGGTCGCACCTGCGGCTCTCGCTGGGAATGGGGCTAGAGCCCTAGAGGCCTTATGATGCGGGTTACAATGGAGCGGAACCGGCGGAGGGGAGATTTTGTTTCTTTAACGCCGGCGGTGACTCATGTTTGTTTGTTATTTGTGTATCAGCAGCACTTAAGGCCCCAGCCCCGTTGGGCCACGTGCTGTACAGACCCAGAACAGAAGACAGTCTCTGCCCTGAGGCGCATACAGTCTAAAAGACCAGCCAGAGCCCTGCTGGCCGCAGTGTTCTGAAGTGGAGGGATCTGAGCCTTGGGCAGTGAGGGGCGAATTTATAACCGCACGTGCAGTATTTTCAAATACAATGCGATCTCCTCCTACAGCCACGGCAGCCTTTCCGAGCACTGAGCACCCAGATCCCACCCGAGGGTGCAAGCGGCGGCTTGAATTCAATAAGAACTGACCCCAAACCTTCCCTGCAAAGCCAGGGGAGACAGATGAAAGCAGGGAATGATGTAAGTCACTAGCAGGGTGCATTAACAGGCCTGGATGGGGGCCCAGGAGTGGAGTAGCTCCACGGGCAGGGAAAGGGGGGTTGGAAGCCTGTACAGCTTGCAGGTGGACTAAGCCGGTGCTGTGAGCCCTTTGGCGTGAGCCTGGGACTAGCTGGATGGGCTGTGCGGTAAAGAATGCAGAGAATCCAGGTTCTCTCCAATTGTCTATAGTGCGTAGGCCAGGGACGATGGTTTGTTTGTTATTAGCTGGGGCCTGACCCTGTAAATAAGTCAGCGAAGCCTCTGAACTGCGCTCACTGGTTCCAGGGACTCCTTCAACCAGTGACTCATGGTGGCACACAGATGTATCACCTGGCAAATGCGGGCCACCCCCTAATGCCAGCAAGCCCACCAGCAGAACTCCCCCGGCCTTGACTGGGAGGACCTCTTGGCATCAGGACACTGTGCTGCTGAGTCCCACCGAGGTCCGCAGGGCTCCACGCCAGAGCATCCTTCTGCCGTGCTGTAATGACGTGGTCACTCAGTGCAGCCGTTCGGCAGGCCCTAGCTGTGCCCCCAACCAGGCTGTGTACAAACCACAGGTCTTTGTTGTTTCCTATGGGTAACGTTGGGAAGAATCAGATCTAACAAACATCTCTTGTGATCACCTTGCTGCGTAGCTCTGCCTGGCTGCCCCGCCCTGTTAGTGCTCGGAGGGACGGAGGGGATCTTGGCTGTTGGCGGTTACGGTTGTGACTGTGAATGCGAGAGCCCAGCATGTACAAAGAATGATAGAAGATCAGGGCTGAAAGAGACCTCAGGAGGTCATCTGGTCCAACCCCCTGCTCAAAGCAGGACCAATCCCAACTAAATCATCCCAGCCAGGGCTTTGTCAATCCAGGCCTTAAACAGGTCTAAGGAAGGAGATTCCACCACCTCCCTAGGGAACCCATTCCAGTGCTTCACCACCCTCCTAGTGAAATAGTGTTTCCTAATATCCAACCTAGACCTCCCCCACTGCAACTCGAGACCATTGCTCCTTGTTCTGTCATCTGCTACCACCATCCTCTTTGGAACCCCCCTTCAGGTAGATGAGGGCTGCTATCAAACGTTTCTAGGTGGACGCCAGCCCGTGGTCTGAGACTGGAGCTAACCCAGCAGCCATTACTATAGCGAGCGGACGGGACCCAGCGTTCTGTTATGAAAACAGCTGTTCATAGACAGCCAGTGTAGGAGCTGTAGCCCGAGAGCTGGCCTCATACACACTGCATGGGTCTGTGAGCCTATGTGCTCCTCCTGGGCCTACGGTAACAGGAATCCCAGTTACCCCTAGCTCCCAAATGGAGATAAGGGGCCAGATGATCACTTGGTGTAAATCAGCATATTGAAGCTATGCTGATTTTCACTTTCCTCCTGCATGGAGTCCCACGGCTTGTTTGTGATAATCGCATCAAGCTCTTAGCTAGCACTTTTCATCAATAGAGCTCAAAGCACCTTCCAAAGGCGGGCAGTAGCATTAGCCCCATTTTACAGAGGAAGTCAACAGGGGGCAGAGCCCATTGCAAATTGGGTCCCGTAACGAGGAACAGCAAAGAACGTGGTCCGGTTTGTATGCTGGAGGCAAATCTAATGGGAAGAAAGGTGAATTTGGGGGGCAAAAAATGGAAACCCACCTGAGATCTTAAAGTTGCTTATGGGAATTAAGGACTGCGTGGTTTAGCTTGTTGAGATTACGTTTCAATGGAAATAGAGAAGTGTCAAGATATCTGGCTTTGCTGTCTGGAAACCTGCCGTCTATACTGAGTGCATTCGTGTCTTGCTGTCCTTATTGCAGGTGCAATGTGTGGCTGTACAATGCATCTGTCCGGGTTATGCACACAAGGGGCAAGGCTTGGGTTCAAGCCACTGTAGTTATTGAATGAATAGTGCCAGGACGGGGCCTTATAAAGAGAGGATCAGATACTGGTTCATTTGGCCCCATAAATCTCTCTCTGTGACAAAAATGCTCCCCAAAAAACCCACCCCAAATATTTGGGATTAAACAAGTGGCCCCAATTTATACATCTAGGGGGAAACCCTGGCCCCACTGAAGTCAGTGGCAAAATTCCAAAAGATCTCTGTGGGGCAGGATTTCAGCCAGAGTGTCCGATTCTCCTTAGGTAACATTTTTATGTCATTGGAAAAACACACACACACACACGCGCGATTTACTGTCCCATCACTGAAAATGCAGTCCGGCCCAGAGAGCTTCCTTTGCCTGGTGATTTGTACAATCCTCTCTCCTAATTACCCTTGAAACAGATCCACCTGTCTCTAGGTAATAACCTCGATGCCGGAACTGGGGACAGGGGCCCTCTCACTTTGCAGGAAGACAGCGTTCTGGAGGAGTTATTTCTGCGCTCTCTGGAATGGCAGGAATGCCATGTGAAAGCTGTGGGGGAGGCGTGTTTCCAGCCCCACAGGCCCAGAAGGAGAGGGAGAAGATAGGAATTAGCATGTTGCCGAGGCATGCACAATACAGCTCTGTAGCTCATAAGGCAGCACAGTTCAGTGAGTAAAGGCACCACCTAGGCAGCAGGAAGCTCTGCTACTTGCTCACTGTGCGACCTTGGGCAAGTCACGGGGGCCGAAGTTTTCAAAAGTGACCTTGAAACGTAGCTGCCTCCAATTTTGGGTCCCAGTGTGGGACACATAAAGGGCCTGGCTTGCAGAGGTGCCCACTCAAAGCCACAAGGCTCAAATACTGAGCCACTCAGAATCAGAGCCCACTTTGGGAATGTCAGCTGTGTAGGGCACTGTGCCTCAGTTTCCCCATCTATAAAATAGGCATAATGCTGTTGCTCCATCTGTGTAAAACACTGTGAAATGCCTGACTGAAGAGCTGTCTCCATCCACTAATCACCCCTGTTCTGTTTATAATCAGAGGCCTGGGGCGTAACGCTCGGAGCCGGAGTTGAACCGGCCCCTGCGCGGGTCTGGGTCAATCCTCGCTAGAGATTAACCCAAATCAAACAGGCTGAAGCTGGAGTGGGTTCAGGACAGGTGGCCTGGCAGCCCAGATTTTGGACTGGGACTCGAGATGCGCGTTCAAGGTCGAGCTCTGCCGCACATGGGCGCTGACGTTCACGGCCCCGCAATGGGCCAGGGGTTCAAAGAGCCCCACTCCCCTGCAGGCACCTAACAAGGGGGCAGATGTCGGAAAGATCTCAGCAGCCGATGGGCTGAAAATCTGGCCCAGGGGTGGGTGCTGAGCTCCTCTGACCATGCTGGGCCTTCACCTCCCTGTGTCTCCATCAGTAATGCCCTCCTACCGCCGAGGGTCATTTAAAGGGACGGGGGCTATGAAAACACAGCTGAACCCCCCTCAACATCAGGGCTCTTAAGACCAGAAGGGGCCATTGTGATACTCCTGCAGCGCAAAGGCCAGGGAACCTCATCTAGGCATCCTTGCCTGGAGCTCAGCCTCTTGCCTTCCCTGTGCATGGGGTTCGGATCCAGGCCCCTGGAGAGTAACAATGGCACCCTGGGAGTCAGGCTCCCAGCTGAGGGCCAGGTGGAGCAAGGCAACGCACACGGGGTCCAAGGAAACCCGGCCCCGGGGACGTTCATTCCACTCTTGCAAGCCTGACTGGGGAACGGCCGCTTGTCTTGGGCTCTCTCTACCCCGCCACTTTCATGACCAGCCTTTGGGGCCCTGGAGCTTTGCTGAAGAACCAGCCTGACTTGTTTGCTATCTGGGAGCTGGGGGGGCGGAGGGCACAGCAGAGACCCTGGGGGCAGGGACATATCTTAACTGGGGGGGGGAGAGGGGAGATCTTTCCTCTCTGCCGTCCTCTTCACACTAGTGCACAGGACAGAGAGCGAGGCACTGGGGCCCTCGCTGCCCTGCTCCAGGTCAGGCCAAGACACAGACAGAGAACCCATGCCGTCCACTGCTGCAATGGGGCTGCTGCTGCTGCTGACTGGGATCAGCGCGGGCAGGGTCCTAGGTGAATCTTTTGACTATTACAGGGGATAGTGGTCTGGTGGTACTGCCTGCTGGGGAGGGGCAGAGCTATGGGGTGGGTGGGCAGAGAAGGGGAAGCGATGGGGTGGGTGGGTGGGGAGGGATGCTATGAAGTGAATGGGCAGAGAAGGGGAAGCTATGGGGCGGAAGGGTGGGGAGGGACGCTATGGGATGGTTGGGAAGGGAGAGGGAAGCTATGGGATGGATGGGCAGAGACGGGAGAGCGATGGGTGGATGAAGGGAGAGGGGTGGATGAAGGGAGAGGGAAGCTATGGGGTGGAAGGGTGGGGAGGGACGCTATGGGGTGGAGAGAGGAAGGGAGAAGCTGTGGGGTTGAAGGGTCTTGTCCCCTAAATACTTAGCAGAGAGAGAGAATCTGGGGGGACCTTTTCTTCCCCAGAAGGTCTTTGCCAGGGGGATCCAACCCCCCCCCCCCCCCCGCATATATTGGGAGCTGTTAAACCCCTGCTCAGACTGGTGTTGGGAAGCAGTTTGGGGAGGCCCTTGGGAGGCCCCCTTGACCTCCAGGGCGTTTGGAGTGATCAGATATGGGGCGAGTTCATTAGCTCCCGTTTGGGGCAGTTACCCGCTGGGGAAGGCAGCCCCGGCTTCAGGATGGAGCTGGGCTGGCTTCCACCAGGGCTTTCCCTTGGCGAGAGGGAGCGGGGGCCTTGTCCCAGACTCGGTCCCTCAGCATAGCCTGGGCAGGAGGTGGGTCTCTGTTGCTTGGATGGGGATACAGAGCCTTGCACCTCAGGCATGTGGCTTCTGAGCCAGCCCATTGTGGGAACGACTGACAGCGACTGCCTCGGGCGGGCGGCGATTTGGTGCCATGCTGGCTTGCCCTTTGTGCTCAGCCTCAGCAGAGAGGCCACGGGGCACATGATCCCAGAAGCTGGTGCTGCCCACCTCGTGCCAGAGCAGGTGAGCTCCGTGGGGCAGGGACAGTCCACGAGCGGGGCTCCCCGGTGCTACCACACCAACCGCACCCCCAGGGGATCTGGGGAGCAGGCTGCCAGCCCAGCGTGGAGGTCCTAGGCCCGGAGGCCGCAGCGTGCTGAGCTCATCAGCAGGGACGGCGCTCCCGGCGAGGGTTTGTGTTTGCCCAGCAGGGCACAGTGACCCGCTGGTGGTGGTAATTGTGTTGCTGCATCATGACGTGGCTGGATTTGATCTCGCACCATGTCGGGGCGACACGGCCCCCCGGGGCAGGCAGGCTGCTGCATCGGTACGGACATCACACGACGTCACCAGCTGCCGTGCCCACGGCCACGGGGACTCCTGTGCCTTGCAGGGTGGCCAGCCGGCCGCCGGGACCCACCCTGTCCGTTCAGCTCAGCAGCACACCCGGCGGGCCCCCCAGTTCTCCCCAACACGGGCTGCTCTAATTTCATGTGGGTGGGGGGGAACTTTGCTCAGCTACACTAGTGTGAATCTGGCTTGACTCCGGATTCCCACGGCTCTAACGGACTGAGTTTAGCTGGTCTGCAGGAAGCTATTTCCAGTGGGGGGCATCCATCACCTTGGATGCTGAGGGCCAGATCCTCAGCTGGTGTAAATCAGGGTCGCTCCATGGAAGTCAATGGAGCAATGCCCGTTTACCCCTGTAGCCCAATGACGCCAACTGAGGATCAGGCCCCAAATGCCAGTAGGGTCCATTTCAGTGAATCCGGCTTGTGATCAGAGGCCCGGGTTTGTGCCCAGAAGCACGAAGTCTTAGATCCCTCAGCATTAAGTAGGATAACGCTGGATCTTCTTGTGATCCGGAGCCACGTCCAATCCCTTTGTGAGTCGTGCTAAGGGACACGCTAGGGTACTGGTTGTGCACGACTGAGCCTTTCTCATCTCGGTCACGGATTCGGGTCCGCTCCAGGTCAGCAGAGAACTCAGCTGCTAAGATCCAGCGGCCCGCTGGTGACTTGTGTGAAATGGGCACAACGACTGGAACCATTAGCGAGTGCCCTGGTGGGTGGTCTCTGTTTGGAGACCCCAGGCCAACTTTGGTTCTGTTACACCGCTTCAAAGCGTTGGCGTATTTGGGTGGTTGTGTCCCAGGCATGGATCAAGGCCCCCACGGTGCTAGGAGCTGTACATACTTGCAACCAAGTGTTGGCCCCTGCCACAAAGAGGTGCCAGTCGGAGTGGGAGAGGAGAGACCAGGGGGTGCAGCAAACCAGGGGAACCCAGTGGAACCGAGCCCATCCTGGTCAGCAGGGTAAGCAGCTGTCACAGCTCACCGGCTGCCTATGCACTCATTTGAGCGGTGTTACTCCAGATTTATGCTCAGAATCCGGCTCAGAATGGTGGAATCTCCATCCTTAGAGGTTTTTAAGGGCCGGCTTGACAAAGCCCTGGCTGGGATGATTTAGTTGGGGATTGGTCCTGCTTTGAGCAGGGGGTTTGACTAGATGACCTCCTGAGGTCCCTTCCAACCCTGATCTTCTATGATTCTATGAATGCTCACTCTATGACCACAGCTGCCGTGGGCCCATCAGCCCGGTGACAATGCTGGGGAACACCTACATTCAGAGGGAAATGAGAAGCATTGGGTTCCCCACCCCTCTCTCTGCTGGGCCCCGTGTCCGCCTCACTTTGTGTGTTCCCCTTTATGTTTCTCCAGAGACTGTCCCCTACACGCCCCAGATCACTGCCAAGTCGCTGGAAGGGAAGCTCACTGCTACCACCTTCACACTGGACCAGCCCATCTGCATCTTCGATCAGTACGTGAACGGCACCGATGACATCTGGCTCGTCGTTGCCTTCACTAACGGTACGTGTGGCTCCAGACCCCGCCAGGCACCTTTCCCTGCGCCTACAACAGCCTTTGCCAGCCCCAATATGGCACTGTCTGAGGAGGAAGTTCACAGCCGCCTCTATTCCCCTTCTGGCTTTTCCTTCCTCCCTCGCTTGAGAGATTGTAGGGCTGTGTGCCCTCTCTAAGGGGCACCAATTTGCAGCTACCCTGGGTTACCCCCTGCCCTAGTAAAGGCAACGGGGTCAGAGTACAGCACTAGGAGGCCTGTGGTTTAGTCCTGGCTCTGCAACTGTCTCACTCTGTGGCCTTGAGCTAGTCACGGAGGCTCAAATTTTCAAAAGCAACCTCTGAACTTGGCTGCCTCAATTCCTTGAGGCCTGAGCTAGCGAGAAGCTAAATAAGATCCTCTGTCCAGGCCAGATTCAGGCAGGGTGGAAAGCGGCCATCCAAATGAGCTGCACTATGCCCAGCCAAGCAGAAGAGGAGCCCGAGGACACCAAAATGTAAATGAGTTCAGAGAAATACGTGTTTGCATGACATTTTAGGCTGGGCTCTAGAGATTCCTAGGAATGTGGGGTTTGCCACACCGGATCAGGCCGCCCCCTGGTCCTTCAGGTTTGGCATCTTGCCTCCAGCTGCGGCTTCAGGAGAACACCTGCTCCCTCGTACACCTAGCCAATTGCACAATGCTGTGAATGGAGCAAAAATACCCCTGCAGCCCTCACCTTATGCCCTGGAGCGTGACTTTGGATTGCTCATATCTGAGCGTGGGGCTCGCTTTACCCAGCCCTTTGAAAAAATCCTGCCGCAGATCAAGAAGCTAACGACCTGCCATGGTTCCTAGGGGAGCAAGAATCCTCTGGATTCCTAACCCAGCCAGCCTGGCAGTGATCTCACGTTCATTACCCACTGCCCCATTTCCATGGAGGGCATAGCTGTGCTGGCTCTGTGGAAAAACCGCTGGCCCTGTGCCAATGCAGCCCCCAGTGTAGACACAGCTAGGCTGACGGAAGAGTGCTCTGCAATGTAGACAGTCTTGCGGCCCCCGCTCCATTCCCCAGCACTGGGAAATCACGAACATCCTGTGCATTTCAGCCCAGCAGCGTGTCTCGCTGCCACCGATTCGCAGCTTTCGCCCATGCACCATGCCCGCGGCGACGCACCGCTCTCTGTCCCGGCGTGGCAGCACCCTCGCTGGGACCCGCAGGCTTTGGGCACAAGGTTGTCGCAGCCCACGGCCTGGCGATGCGCCATCCACGGGCCACTCTCGCGATTTTGCTTCCTCGTGTGCACAGGGCAGAATCATTGCCTCACAGCAGGAGAGTGCCCACCCGTGGGCCATCCCTCCTGCTTATGTTCACACAGGGACACGTACACTTAGGCCCTGCGGCACTGTGGCACGACAGCCAGTAATGCAGCAGCTGGGCTGAACACGGCCCCCCGCCCCCCACCCACCGAGGAGGAGGGTCAAATGTAGGGAAGGACTTCCCTGCAGAGTTAACTCAGGTGATCAGCCCCTGGAGCCGAGCTCCTGGGCTAGCCTCACCCAGGTGTCAACAGCCCTGCCGCAAAGTAACTTCAGGGGGCCCGTCCCATGGTTCGTAGCGCTGCAGTGAGCTGAGCGGTGAATTGGGGAGAGCAGGTCTGTCCTCCTGGGCACACGGGGTGAATCGGGGGAAGGCAGCACAGTGATCAGCACTGGCATGGTTCAGCCGGTGTCCCCGCTGGAAAATGGACAGGTGGCTAGCCTGAGGGAAAGCCTCCCTTGGGTCTGAGCCTGTCCCCCCTACTGGGTCAGTTAGTCGGGTTGAAAACGCCACTCAGTTCGGGTGAGAGGGTTTGGTATGTGGACAGGAAGAGGGCTGGGGGCAGCCCAGGAGTACAAGCCAGAGTTAGCTCTGCAGTGAAGCCAGATCCCTGGTCAGGTCACAAGCCCTAACATTGCTCTAGCTAATGGAGATCCTATGTTGGCCCAAGGAGTAGCAGCTTGTGCTTTCAGGGCAGATCAACCCAAGCTCCATCCTTACTCACAGTCACAGGGGGAGGCTGAGTTTGCTCAAGCAATGACCTTAGCAGTCAGGGGTCTGCCCTGGAACAATCCCCATTCCGAACCTGTGCCTTTCTATACTTACGGGGTTTGGGGTGCAGGTTTTTCCAATGTATTTAGGGGCTTTTCTAGGCTCCCTGTCTCCACAGCATCTGTGCCACTCAGCACCAATGGATTTTGCTTCCCAGCACATCTGTGACATAAGGAAAGATTTACAGGTGGGGAAACTGAGGCACTGTGGGATTAAATGACTTGCCCAGGGTCAGCCTTGGAGTCAGTGGCAGAGCTAGGAATGGACCGACCATCTCCCAAGTCAAGTACCTTGACCACCAGCCCAGTCTTCCCGCCTAATCCGGGAACGCCCTCTTCTCTTTCATCCACAGCCACATCCCATTTCAAAAATCCAACCTCCAAGATCCAAATCCCTCCCTACCAGAAGCTATCGACTGCTCTCCATTACATGACGCTGAAGAATTCCATTGCCTTCTACCCGTGTGCTGAAAACAGGGCCGCTAGCGTGCTCCGGGTTGGCAGTGACACCTCCTGCAAAGATGACCGCAGCCTGGAGTACTGCAACGGACCCCTGCCTCATCCTGGGCCTTACAGGTACGACAGTCTGAGCCCAGGCATCCCTGCAGGTCGGGGCCTGACTGCCCTCTCCCTCACACAGCGGAAATCAGGAGTAACTCCCAGGCAGACAGCGGACTCACGCGGATGGCGGCAGGAGGAGGCTCAGCCCCGTATAGTTAGAGATTAGAGGTTTATTATCACCTGTATTTGCAGTAGCCCCTAGGAACCACTGTCCTGAACCAGGGCCCCACTGTGCAAGGCGCTGTACAGACACAGCATAGACAGATGGTCCCTGTCCCAAAGAGATTCCTGATAACAAATTTAACCTCTTTAATATTAACTCCCCCTGTCCCTCCATTCCCACCCTCTCTGGCTTTCTGTCTCCTCGGATCCATGCAGCACCCGTTGCAACCTTCGAAGCTTGCTCTTTCCCAGTCTAGAACTCACTCGCGCACAGAATCCAGCACATGCATTTGCTAAGGAGGCTCCCGGTTCTTTTTAACCCACTCTCTGCAGCTGGGTTGGCTGCGGTGCAAGGAAGTTTAAGGAGCCTGCTAGATCCTGGCTCCCGGATCACAGGGCTGAGTCTTCCACCTCTTTCCACTCCAGTCCCTCAGTTGCCTTTTGTAATTAACTGGCTCTTTAACGATGAGTGCCCCAATGTGTTCATTTCTGCCGTTCTCGCAGTCCTGATGCAAGAGTCACCTGCTCTTCTTCACCTGCCGCTCAGAAAACCAGTATTCCTTCTCTCTTCTCACTGTTCTTCCACTCTCTCTCTTTCTCCCCTTATTTCTGAAGCGTTACTCCCCAGCCCCTGTCTTAAGACACCAGCTAACTCCTGAGCACGGCGGGCGGAGCGGTTTGCAGATATCTAATCCCACATGGTGCCGGGAAAAGGGGCACCACCAGGGAAGCAACCAGAGAAGACCCCTGTGCTGGCTACCTGAGCGGAGAATTGGGTTAGATTCTGCCTTTAGTTTACATCCTTCCGGCCCGTTGATTTTAGCAGGGTTGTGCAGGTGTGTCTCAGGGCAGGATCTCACCCAGGAAATTTGCTGGCACCAGGGGGCTTTGCGTTTTGGAGGTTTCTACATACACAGAAAGATACAGAACAAACCTCTACGTCAGAACTGAAGTTCCTCGGGCTGTCTGAGGACAGGTTACTTGCAGTATAACGTTCAGCCACTAGATGTCTCCCTGTGCTCCATACACTTGCAGGCAGGGCGTGGTGCCTGGTAAACAAGGGTAACCAGGCTGGAATTTGAGCTGCGTGGCAACCTGTTTGTGTCTCTAGTCAGTAGCTGTTTTCTTTAACAAATACCTCCTGCTTAAGGAGGACTTTGATTCCATAGACCGTGACTAAGGTTAAGATTTTGTCACTGTTATTTTTAGTAAATGTCATGGCCAGTCACAGGCAATAAACAAAAATTCACTGGAGCCAAAAGGCAGGGAAGAGAGGGCTGGGGGCAGGGGGGTGGAAATGACAGCTGGACCCTGGGGGTAGGGGGCTAAGAGCCCGAGCCCCTCCCCAGGGGGCAGGGGGACTGACAGCCCCAGCTCCACCCCTACTGCTGACAGCTGAAGTCATGGAGGTCCAGTAAAGTCACAGAATCTGTGACCTCCGTAACTAAATCGTATCCTTAACCACAACAGTCCGAGTGTCTCTCTTAGCATACACTGCTCCTGCCGACGACTGTCGTACCTAGGTCCTGATATACCAAAGGCTGATAATACTGAACATCTGACATCTGCTTTGGGGGTCTTTAATCTAGCGGAGAAACTAAGAATAAGATCCACTGTCTGGGGGCTGAGACTCAACAAATTCAGGAATAAGGCATAAGTTTTTAATAGTGAAGCTAATTAGCCACTGGACCAACCGACTTTGAGACCCAGGGTAGTCTCCACCTCCTGAAGTCTCTAAGGCCAGAGCGGATGGCTTTCTAACAAGGACGCTATGGGACAAGTGGGAATTATGGGCTCAACCCAGGCATGAGTGGGGGAGGTTCTGCAGGAGGTCCGGCTACATGATCAGAATGGGCCCTTCCAGCCTTGAATAACTAGGGCTTGGGGTAAAGGTGATGGCAAGGAGAAAGAGCCAGATCCTCTACTGGTGTAATTCACCATAGTGCCATTGGATTCAGTAGAGCTGCAGCGAGATGTACCAGCAGAGGGTCCAAGAGATTGGTGTCTTGGGCCAGCTATCTGGAAACAGCCTGTGGACAGACAAACCCAGTATTTGTCAATGACAAGCTGGGTCAGTTTTGCTCTCCAAGCATGATAGGTCTCGGTGGCTTTGTCGTTTGCAGCTGCATCCCTGATGCTCCAACGTGGGCTGGGCTGGAGCCCTGCCAAATTTCCCTGACCTTCTCTCTCCTTTTGTCGCCCCCTCTTTCAGAGTGAAATTCCTCATCCTGGATACCAATGGGTCCAAGGCAGAGACAAGATGGTCCCAACAAATTATGCTGAAGCAAGGTAACCCTGGAAGAACAGGGAAGGGGCTTCTTGCATTGTAAGCATCTTGGGGGAGGGTTCTTGTCTCCTTTAAGCCCACTCTCAAGGCAACAAATAGGGACTTGGGTTCCTGACTCACCCTCTGCACGCTTCTTAGGGCTTGTTAGACAGGATGGTACATACCAGCCAGAGCTGGCAGTTCCCAGGGTGTCTCCTTGCAGGCCCCCTGTCCCTCCCTGCTCAGAGATACTCCTGAGTTGTCGTTAATTGGGCCCACCTGGTCTAGTTGCCAGGGTGAGTCAGTAGAACAGCGTTGCACCTCCCTCCCTGCTGGATCCCTTCAGTCCCCACCACCATCCCCGGCACCTCCCAGCCCGTCCCCTCCGGCTCCCTGCCCGCAGTGAAAGCTTCCCCGGCCGTGTGCCCCAGGTCGCAAGGCGCGCTCCATCGACACCTGGCCTGGGAGGCGCAGCGGTACCATGGTCGTCATCACTTCCATCCTCTCCAGCTTCATCGGCATCCTGGTGATCTTGTTCCTCTGCACGGTCGCCTACGAGTGGTGAGTGCCGAAGCCTGGAGGGAAGCGCAGCCCGGTGCAGCCTTGAAGCAGAGACTGGCTCGACCTGGAGGGGGCAGGGGCGGGAATCTGTGAGCCCAGGCTGGTGGGAACGCTCTGGATCTGCTTTCTTTGGGGAATGGCGAGTGAGCTGCCCTCCCCACCTGGCACTCACGAAGCACCGACCCTCTCTGCTCAGCACCCTGGGATCAGAGGGCAGCAGCTCGGGTGGGGCCCGCAGCACTGGGCCCCCCCCACAGGGCGCCCCCCCAGCAGCCACTGGCGCTGCAGGAGGATTGGGTGCTGTGTCCGCGGAGCTGCCTGCGTGGTCCGTGGTGCTCACCAGCTGCCTGTTTGTGGCTTGTTTACAGCTTTAAGCTTTGGCGTCGAGAGGAGCCCGCGGTCCCGGAGGAGCCACGCGTCGGGTCCTTCAGAGAGAGGCAGTATGATACCCACCACATCCCCCCGTCGCAGGCTCCAGCCCAGCCCCACAGCGACGTGCCCCGGCCTCACTCGCCGGCCGCCTCCCCATAGGAGCCCAGAGCTTCCCGCAGGCCATCGTCCTGGGCTCAGCAGTCAGCCCACGGGCACCCCCAGAAGCCTCGCATCCCATTTATACACTCCGTGCCCTCCCCATCACGCACCCTGCTGCACGGTGTCCCCTGTAAACCCCGGACCCCAGCATCCCCATCACGCACCCTGCTGCCCAGCATCCCCTATATACCCTCGATCCCAGCATCCCCTATGCTCCCCAACTCCCAGCATCCCCATCACGCACCCTGCTGCCCGGCGTCCCCTATATACCCTCGATCCCAGCATCCCCTATGCTCCCCAACCCCCAGTGTCCCCATCACACACGCTGCTGCCTGGTGTCCCCTATATACCCTGGGCCCCAGTGTCCCCTTTGCTCCCCAACCCCCAGCATCCCCATCACACGTCCTGCTGCCCAGCGTTCCCTCCGCGCCCCAAACCCCAGCATCCCTGTCAGACGCCCCAGGCCCCAGCCTCCCACACGCTCACCCTGGTGCTCTAGGATCACCAGCTCTGGGAGAGGAGAGGCTCCATGCTCCCCATCTGGGGTATCCAGCCTGGCCTGACCGGCCGTGCTGCTTCCCACTTCCCTGGGACTGACTTTACAGGACACAGAGCAACAGCTGGGGAAGAAGGGGAGTAAACAAGCCACGTCCTCTGCTCCTGCCAGTCAAAGGGTCCTGTCTGTTAACTCCAATAGGCAGGTGCATGGGGCTGGGCACTGGTGACACTCAGGGCATCTCGGTCGTTTGTTTCTCGCAGGCTTTATTCACCTCCTGGAACTGTTTATGAAGCCAGAAACAAAGACTTTGAGAAACAAAGACTATCCCCCCCCGGCTAATGGGTCCCGTGCTTTGATCCCGTTTCTTTACCCCCAGTGTAGGGAATAGGACCCGTCTGTCCTATCAGCAGGAATGTGATGGAGGTGTTCCCGGCCCGCCGGCACTGCAGATGTGGCTCCAGGTTCACGTGGGTGCAGGGCCGGGCCCCGAGCCACGCTCCTCCTGAGCGCTGGGGACGTTTGGGCCCGGATCTAGAGCAGGGATCCTGTCAAAGAGAAGCAAATTCCAGCCAGGGGTGTAGCCGGCTGATTGGCACCTGAACACACAATGACCCCTCGGCACCCCGCCCTCCCCACCGCCTGCCGTTGACGCAGGAGCCTTGGGGCTAGAATGACAGCCCTGCCCTGGCCGGGCCCACGGGAGCATTGGCGCACCTGTGCTGGGAGGCCGGAGCCCAGGGGTCTGTGCACAACGCCTGCTGACCGCAGCGTGGCTCAGGGCTCTGGAGTGGCCGGGAGGGAGGCGCCTCATCTCTGACGGGGGGGCCCCTTTCTGACGTCTGCAGCCCTGCAACAGAGCCAGCCCCGGGCCCCCTCGGCCAAGCAAGTGCTGAGGAAAGAGGTCAAGCCAACCCCCACCTGGCCTTCCCAGATCTCTGCCTGGAGTCTGAGAGTCCAGCCCCGCAGGGCCCCGGCCAGGCCCCAGGGGGGGAGCAGGGACTCCACCCAACACCCATGGAAGCCACTGGGCTTGGAGCAGGCCCCCAGCTCAGCCGGCTGCCGGATGGAGTGGCCCCTCCAGGCGATGGAGCAGCCCAGCAGCGGTGCGGCGTTAGGTGCTTTCCCCTATAGCCCCTAGAACTTGTTTCAAGGACCAGGGCCCAATCCCTCTCCCTTCCCCTCCCCCATTGGAAGCCATCCTCAGGGACCAGCCGGCCGGCCGGTGTGAGAGGTTCAGCTTCTGTGGTTCTTGTATATACTGCTGGGGGCAGGTGGGTTTCTCTTTTCAACTCATCGGTGCCCGGCCAAGTAAACTGCAGTTTGCATTTTTGAACCGCTGCCTCGCTGTCCTCCTTTGCGCCCTCGGCAGCGGTTGCAGTCCGGGGACTCCCAGCCCTTGGGCCACAGGAGGGAGCTGTACGACAGAACAGCTGACGGGACGCCACAGGCCCACAGAGGGTCCACGCAGCTCGCGTCCCAGCCTTGCCGGGCTTTGCTCACCAGCCCCACCATAGCCCCTCGGGCATGCCAGGCAGCACACCCTGCCATCTTGTGGCTGACCCATGTAACTGCAAGTAAACGTATCACGATGCCTTGTCATGCTCTTGCATTTATGTGGCGCCTTTCATGCAAAGGGACGGTGCAGCGGGCGTTTACTGGGGCCCAGCGTGCCCAGGTACACCAGGACCGTGCCTGCTGCCCCTCAGCCACTGCCAGGCATGAAGTCCTGGCCCCGATCTGCAAGGAAGGGGGTATTGTCGTGGACAGGAATGGGGCAGTGTGCCTTTTCGAGTGTCTGCTGGGGTGGAAGCCACCGGCCCCTAACACAGCAGCAGTGGGGGCGGGTGTCCCGAGGCCTTGTACGTTTGTAGCTAGTACCTAGTTAGTAACGCACTGATCTGGGGACGTCCGGGCCCATGGGGTTTCCTCAAAATCGTATACGTTCGAGGGAAATCGGTGTGGCCTAGCAGCTCGAGCACAGGTCTGGGCCTCAGCAGAGCTGGGATCTCCTCCCTTGGGCAAATCACTTTATCTTGGTCCCCCCCTCGGTACAACCGGGGTAACAGTGCTGCCCTCCCTCACAAAGTGCTTTCAGATCTGCTGCTGGCCAGAGCTGGATGGCATTAGTAGTAGTGTGGCAAGAGCAGATGAGGGGTTTGTGGGGCTCTGGGCCAGAGTGAGGGCCCCACCCCTTCCACATGCAGTCCCCGCCTCCCCGCCCAGCGCTCCTGCTGGAGAGCGGGGTCAGGGCGTGGGGGCTTCCCCCGCTCCCCAGCGGGTGGATGGAGCGGGACAAGCCCCTATGCCCCAAACCCACTCCCCGGCAGGAGCGCTGGGTGGGTCGGGGTGCCCCGATTGCCTGGGCTAATCCGCCACTGGGCAAGAGCAATAACACATCAAGCGTCTCATCCACAGGAACTCAGTGTTATTCAATGGCCTTTTCCCCGCAGGGCAGAGGGCATGGAACAGCTGCATGGCCCTTACAGCAATGCCTTCACCTCTGCTTTCCTCTTGGGCGATGTCCCTGAGCTTCTGAGCCTCTTGACTCTGCTGGTCAGGCCCTGGCACAAACACCTCCCCGTCCATTAAAACCATTAATGCTGGGGAGGGGCAGGAAGGCATGGGGCAGGGAAGGGGAGATGAGATGGGAGTGGAGGGGAAGGAAGGGAGTGTGAAAGGGGAGGGCAGAGGGGGAGACCAGCTCTGATGTTGTGAGGGCCAGACGGGGTTGGAGACGAGCGCTGCTGCAGATTAGAGAGTGGAAGGAATTGTAATCATGCCAGGTGTGCCCCAGAGAGCAGCAGGAGGGTGGGGAGCGGGCGGCAGGGGGAGCGGCAGCTCAGCAGGATTCTGTGCAGCACGTCCGGGGCGGGGGAGGAGCTCTTGGAAAAGAACAATCCTGCCGGCTGCCGCCTGGGGCAGCCCATGGGGCGGTCGGGGAGTGGCATGCGGCACGAGCACGGGGCAGAGTGGGAGGCAGCAGTGGGCAGAGCATGGGGACTGGAGGGCAGGAGACAGGGAGTCATGGCTCCCTCTGGCCCTTCCCCTCTGTTTTCCCATCAGTAAACCAGGTCAGTGACCCCGGCCTCATGCGAGCAGTAACTTCTGTTTTCTTCCTGAGCTGCGGAAACCAGGGAGGGGGCTGCCCGTCCTGTGAGCAGAGGCTCCCTGGGGCTGGGGAGTCGCTCCCTGGGCCTGGGGTGTGATCATGTCACGAGTGGGGCTTACCCAGGCTCGGAGAAATTCTTCAGCTTCTTACACACACAGCCATGCACAGACACACACACACACAATGCATGGACACACTCAAACCCGTACATACATCAAACCCATGCACATACATACATTCGCATCTGGCCTGTAGCCCTAAACAGCAATCCTCTAATAAACCCAACTATCCTGGGCCAGCAGCCCCCATATTGACCCTACGCCCCCTCTCTCCCTCCCTCCCCGAGTGTATATCTCTAGTTGCTTTCTGCTCTTCCGACCGTTAGTCGGTGACCAGTTACTCAGCTCCGAGAACTAAGCAACCAGGTGCACCATGCCACTAGCCACAGGGGTAGGCCAGAGCAGAATTCAATCTGCATTTCTTTATCATGTCAGCAGACAAGCTCAATGTTTATTTTCAAGCATTTTTTTCAACATTGATCGATTCAAATTTTCCCAGTTGCAGGAAATTAGGGGACAGGGATCAGGCAACGGGAAGCGTGGTCCAGACAATAATTATTTAATGGCTGTAGCCGCTGAGATGCTAAAGCTTTTATAACCCTTAAAACACAAAAAGAAAAGGAGTACTTGTGGCACCTTAGAGACTAACAAATTTGTTTGAGCATAAGCTTTCGGGGGCTACAGCTCACTTCATCGGCTGCATCGGTCCGCATCACTTGTGGAAAGAGACAACGTCAACGGCCTTAACCCGAGCTCCAATAAGGTCTCCAGCAGCGGGTGTCTTACTGGGCCTGGCTGTACGTTTCCATTAGTAGCACCGGAAACCTTTTCTCCTCCGTTTGCGTGTGCGCCTGTGGCAAAATCGATGTTGACCAATACAAACCTGATCCTTCCCAGGGCCGGATAACTGCTCCAGTCCTGTGAGCCCAGGGGGAGGTGCTGCTTCCCCCCATCCCTAGCCTGGAGTGTAGCAGAGATGGGAGCAGCCACAGGGCTCCCCTCCCAGGGGTGCGAGAGCAGGGTCCGGTGCTGTTACATGCCGGCGCCTAAGTAGCCCTGCCCCACCATGGTATGACAGCAGATGAGTCAGGCCCTGTTGGAGCGGCCCAGCCCACCGCGGACAGGTGCACTCATGGTCAGGTGTGTCCCTCACCGCTCCAGCACTGTGTGGGTTCGCCAGGGGCTGGGAAGGGAGACGCCTGTCAGCTTTGCTCACGCGCTCAGTGACCCGAGCAGGGGAATGCACAGGGAAGGAGGCAACGACCACACCCACCTTGTCTCATTGTGTTCAGTGCTAATGCCTTTTACTGGATCAGCTTCTGCGGGTGAGAGGGACCAGCTGTGGTGCTTACACTGAGCTCTTCTTCACGGCCACCCTGAGCTAAAGGCAGGGGCTGCTCGTATGAGCTGGGATGGTCACAGGCTCAGATCCCCTGTGGCTGAAGCACCGAGCGGGACCCCCAACACGCACTCAGCAGTGGGTCACGCAAGCACTGGGAGCGCGGGTGGAGCGTGTGACAAAGTGGGAATGTTTTCTTTGAATACTGTGTGGGTGCCTCAGTTTCCCTTGTGCCTTTCTTAAGTATCTAGGGGCTGGAATAAGGGGGCGTGATTGTTGCAGAGCAGAGGGCCAATGTGATGCTGTCTGCACAGAGAATGGCCGACACCCTGTCTCCTGGCAACTGATGGCCTGGGCCCCTCCCCTGCAAGGTGCGAGCTGAAGGTGTTGGAGAACAAAGAGATCAGGTGGCCCCCGGCCCGGGAAAGGGACAAAGGCTGGAGAAGGAGCCAGGGGGTGTGGCTGGGGGGAGACTGCTGGAGGGGGTCAATTTGAAGCTGGCTAGGGAAATGGAAGGAGGTCCAGATGGGGATCTGGGCTCCCTACCCTCCCCTCCGCCCCCCAAGATGGACCTGACTGAGGGGTCCTGTTTCCTATATCTACAAGCTCTGTTTTGGACTGTGTTCCTGTCATCTAATACACCTTCTGTTTTACTGGCTGGCTGAAAGTCAAAGGTGAATTGCAGGAAGTGAAGGGGTACAGGGCCCTGACTCCCCCACACTCCGTGACAGAGCGTGAGGGGTCTTATTTCATCACAGTGATAACTGCTGGTTAATACCGGCGTTCCTGTGGCTGAAAGCTGGTCCCAGGCTCGGGGACCTCCCCCATGTTTTCTGTACAGTCAGCGTATCGCTTCGGTTACGTGAACAGCGAGGGGATGCTGACCGGGACCGCTGTGCCCTAGAAACCGTGCTGGGAATCTGACGAAAACAGGCTTTGGTACCAGATTCCCAGCTCGGCCAACGAGACCCTAGGAACTTCCTTCCTCCTGGTTAGCCGGAGGCACCTGGAGGAAAACGGTTCCTTACGCGTGACCCGACGGGTCTGAAGCTTTGGGTGCAGATCTGGCCCGGCTCGTCTCTCACCCGGCCAGATCGTAAGCTCCAGTCCCTGCCACTTAGGAAAGGAGCACCCTAGCCATTAGCCGCCATCCTCGCCAGCCACAGGCTGGGCTGATCAGGCTTGTCAGTTACAGTCTTCTCCTCCCACAGGTGTCTGGCACCCAGGGTTTGTTTTCACACACACACACACCCCGCCTGCTGCAGAGGGGTGGGCCTGGCACAGATCCAGGCTGTTTTCTTCTGAATCCCTCCGCCACGGGCAGGGAGTTTTCTGACTCCGCTCCTGGTGAGGTCAATTACAAAGGACTGGACTGCAGGGGCTTATCACTGGGCCACCAGTTTGGCCCTCCGCTATAGGGTGACCAGCCCCTTTAAGAGGTAATGGGTCCAGCCCCACCTGCCCCTCACTCAGCGCTCCTCCCCAGGTGGGGCACATCATCACAGCGAGGGCCTGTGGCTAAATCACGCTCAGGCCGAGTGATGTAAAAGAAGCCTGCAGCAAGCCAGAGGGAGAGAGGGTGAGCAGACAGGGGGCTGCCTGGAGGGGAAGGAGAGAATTCAAAGGGGGACCAGCTCAGAGACGCTGATAAAGGGCTGCAGCCTGCCTCTGAGAACGAGGACCACACCCAGAGAGGCACATAGGCCCAGAGGGAGGGCTGCGGGACCCAGACCCGAGAAGGGAGACCATGCCGAGAGAGGCATACAGGCCGGAAGGGAGGGTTGTGGGACCCCTGACCACATCCAGAGAGGCACACAGTCCCAGAGGGAGGGCTGCGGGACCCCTGAATTCAGGGGGAGTTCAAGGGGCTAAAGACGAATTGATCTATTTAGCGACTGAGGAATTCACAGGGGGAATCTCAGGTTAAAGCCGTCTGGCCTGGGAGTGGCTTCTTACAAGAACCAGACCAGGGGGAGCAGAGGGCAGCAGCTGTGCACAAGGGGCGTCCGGAGGGAGTGTTGCCTGTCACAACTTCCAAGTGCCTTCAAGGCAGTGGGAACTGGGGGACTCAGCACCTTATCCTCAGGACGTACCGTATGTCCGTAGGAACAGGAGCCCTCTGCACTGAGAGCATTCTGCCTGGGCCCTGCTGGGCAGCTGGGAGACTCCAGCACCTCTCTGAGCCTTAGGTGGAGACATCTCCAAAGGTCTTCCAGCGTCCTGCCTCCGACAGTCACCAGCAGCAGCTGCTTCAGAGGGATACGCAAGAAACCCTGCAACTACGGGGCAACCTGCCACCATCATGCAAACGGTAGCCCCTCAATTCTGCTCGGCATTCAATATAATAAGAGCAGAGGAATTAAGAGGTGCAGACATAGCGGGATCGAATCTGCTCTCACTTGCCCAGTTCTATGCCGGTGCAGTGGATTTACCCAGGGTAAGGAGGATCCGAATCGGGTTCTGTGCGCAGCTGCTCGCCAGCCTGGTTGACCCAGCGATGTCGCTCAGAGGGTGAAAAACCCACACCCGAGCGCTGGAGTTAAGCCGACCTAACCCCTGGTGTAGACAGGGCTAGGTTGATGGAAGAATTCTTCCATTGACCTAGCTACTGCCCCTCGGGAAGAGGGAGTACCTACACCAAGGGCAGGTAGTGTTTACACTGAAGTGCCTCAGTTATACCAGATTAAATCTGGAGTAACTGCACTGAGGGGAGAGAAGTTACTTCACATATGTGCCCGTGTCACAGAGATCAGAATCTGGCCATATGTGTTTGCAGCTGAGGCTTGATCTGGGCTGCAGCACTGATGAGCTGGGGGGTGTGGGCTCTTGCACCATGGTCGGGGGAGATTGTTTGGAAGGGCAGAGAGGAGGCTGGTGCTAATAACTGGTAAGAAGGGAGAGAGACATGCTGGGGCAAGCCATCTTGAGTACTCCCTGGGTTTGCCTGTGCATGTGGCCATGACACTGGCCTGGTGTTAAAGGGCGAGCCAGGCTCCGATCTCTGTATGCTGTGTTAGATCGGTGCCCCCAGGCAGCTGGCCCAGGGAGGGCGATACAGGACAGATCTCTCCAGCGATGCCCAGCTCAGCACCCGTCCCTGGTGCTGCCAAGCCCAGTGCGCACTCATGCACAGCAAACGCTCCCCAGGAAACTGGCCCGACCTGTTTGCTGTCAGCTCTCGGAGGAGAAGAGAAGAATGCAGGTGTCCAGGAGAGAGGAGGGTACAGGCGGGACCCACAGGGGCCGGGACACAGAGACCATTCAGCCAGTGATCCTCTCGGCATTACCGCGCCGCCAAGAGCCCCGCTCCACCACCTGCCGCCAGGATGTCCCTCCTGCTGGCACTACTCCTGCTGGCCACCACCACCTGCACCGCGAGAGGCCAAGGTGAGTCTTGGGGATGCTGCCTGGTGCCGCAGTCTGGCGAGGAGGGCGACGCAGGGGAGCTCTGGGGGGACTGAATACTGGGGCTGGGGGCGATGGAGCTGGGAACGCCTCGGAACCGGCGTTGGAGCTATTTGCAGAATATGGTGCTAGTGTGAACACAATCAAGACCACAGAGCGTCAGGCACCCACGGGTGCTTCAATACACATCCGTGTGAGGCTCAAAGTTCTGCCGTATCGGAAGCAAATAGCCCCCTGGCTGGGGAGGTGGGATGGGGGTTTCTGCGGGGGAGAGCAGGTCTAGGGTGACCAGATGTCCCAATTTTATAGGGACGGTCCTGATATTCGGGGCTTTGTCTTACATAGTTGCCTATTAACCCCACCCCATCCCGATTTTGTCTGGTCAACCTTCAGTGCGTTCTCCCTGCTCATTAATGATAAGGTCATGACCCCCAGCACTGGTCACGGCCAAAACTCTGTGATTAACCCTCCCCACATGCCCAGAGGTGGCTGGTTCTATCCCCATTTTACTGATGGGGAATCTGACGCCAAGAGGGAAAGGGACTCGCCCAAGGTCACACAGCTTGATCTAGCTCCCTCTCTGAGTGTGTGCATGGCCCCCGCCCTGCAGTACGTGTGCCCCTCCTGAGCTCAGGCGTCCTGCCTCCCAGGCCCCCAGCATCAGCAGTGAGGTGCTAGGTGCTGTACAAACACCAGACAAAAAGATGGTCCCAGCCCCAGAGTTTACAATCTAAGTAACTGAGCTTGATAGTCTTTTCCCTTGCATCAGCGGAATGCCACCAGCTTCATTGCAGTTACTGCTGAGGGGGCATATATATATAAAATTGTACTGTCCCAAGCTCCACCCACAAGCCAAGCTCCACCTACTAACAGTGCCAAATGAGACCCCCCCCCCTCCCAGTAGGATGCTCGTGTTTTCATTAGGCTTCAGAGTGAACAGCCCCTTGGAATTAATAGAGACAGTCTGCATCTCTCTCAGAGCCACTGTTTCAGGCTGATGGCAAACTCAGGCCTGGGCAACCCAAGTTGCACCAATTCCACTCAAGTGGTTTCTAAATTGCCTTGTTTCCAAATGAAGCTATATCAATAGTCACTCTTCATCCCGTTTAAGAGGAATGGCAGTGTTTTAATTCACCTGATTTAGAAACCCCTCTAGCTGCAGTTTGTGTGTGTGTAGCCCAGGCCTTGGGCAGACATCAGTGCATCACTGTATGTCTGGGTCACAACTGGAAGGTTTTATTTGAAACTGGAGGGCCTGGAGACTTCGTTTGCTTTTTTTTTTTTTAAGGAAAATTTTAGATGGCAGAGCACATATTGCAGCCACCATGGGAAAGTCATAATTACACCTTCCCCTCATCTGGCACTTTGCATCCCTAGATCCCAAAGCGCTTTACAGAGGAGTTCAGTGTCCTCAGCCCCATTTTGCAGATGGGGAAAGTGAGGCACAGAGGGCGGAAGTGACTTGCCCAAGGTCACCCAGCAGGTCAGAGCTGGGAATAGAACCCAGCTGTCCTCCGTTCCAGCGCTCTGCTCACTAGGTGATGCTCTCTCCCACTCGCTGTCATCCGCTTGCCTTCCCAATTCAGCAGCAGCAGCCCGAGTTTCAGAGACATAGATTCATAGATTCATAGATATTTAGGCCAGAAGGGACCATTATGATCATCTAGTCTGACCTCCTGCACAATGCAGGCCACAGAATTTCACCCACCACTCCTAAAAAAGACCTCACACCTATATCTGTGCTATTGAAGTCCTCAAATTGTAGTTTGAAGACCTCAAGGAGCAGAGAATCCTCCAGCAAGTGACCCGTGCCCCATGCAACATCTCGAGGTTTGCTCCTGCGTTTCTGCAGCTGCATTTCTGCCCCCACAGTGACCGGCCAGCTCAGAGCAGAAGGTAAGTGGCTGTCTACCAGCCTGCCTGACTCATGGTCTCTCTCCTTGGCTTTCTGCAGTCCTCACCATTGACTATGAGCCTGCAATCACTCTCCTGGCGCTGGAAGGGAACATCACTTCTTCCACCTTCGTCCTGGAGCAGCCCCGCTGTGTCTTCAACCAGACTGTTAGCGACACTGATGAGATCTGGTTGGTGGTTTCCCTCAGTCGCGGTAGGTGTCATTCCCGCACACGGGCTGCGCTTGGCTCAGCAGAAGGGCTCTGTGATTGCAGGGGCTACTGACGTGGCCCCAGGGCTTTGTATTGAGTGTACACTGCGTATCAGGCCGTTGCAGAGCCCCCACTCCACAGCTCGGCCGAGGCGCTGGGAAACCTGCTTGCCCTGGAGCCCTGACTGGCTGGCGATGGGCAGAGAGGCGAAACGGGCCTCTCCACCCTGCCCCGCACAGCCCTTGTTGGCTAGAGATCCTGCCTGTGCTCCTGCAGCCAGCTCCCCTCTGCTTGGAGACTGGGGATGTCCCTGGAGAAGGGACCGCGCAGGCTGCAGGGGAAGGCATGTGCTGGCCTGCAGGGATGCAGAAGGCCCAGACAGAGCCAGGCGGGTGGGGCACAGGCCCACAGAGCTGCCTGTGGCGTGTTCCCTGTGACCCTGCGCTGCATGGAAAAATCAGCCCCTCCCTAAGGGCAAACAGTGCCTTGATCCAGGGGTGAGGCACCAAGGTGGCTGGAGGCGTAGTCAAGACTCTGGCAGGAAGGAGGGCTCCTTTTTGGCCTCTGACTGCTCTCAGCGACGACACTAAGGTTCTGCCCAGGCTGGGGCAGATCTGTGCGTTGGAGCCATTCCCTGCCAGAGCCAGTAGCTTCAGAACAGGCACTTAATTGTGCAATAGCATCAAGCTGGGAGAACAGGTGCTTTCTCTCCATGTGTCACCCTCGTTAGAGTCCCTACTGGTGCCAATTTTTGCCCCAGCCTTACTGGGCTCTCTGCCTCAATAATTTCCTGTGGCAATGAGTTCCACAGATAAATTATGTTGTGTAAAAAAGAAAATGTCCTTTCCATGCAATAAGTGTGCCAGTCTCAGGGCTGGATGGCTCAGGGGGTTAGACTGAGGCTTTTGCCTTATACCCACTGGGCCAAGTCCAGCCAAGGTGGGAAGTGGCTGAAAGTCCTTGCCACCTGGCTAGATGTAGAGTGGCCTATAGGGTGGGATGGCCCATGAATCTGGGCCAGGCTGGGAACAGGGGCTCCTCTCCTGCTGCCACTCCTCCAACCCTTTGGAGCCCAGTTTGATCTGTATTGTTTCCGTAACTCTGGAGAGAGTCCATTGGTGCCAGAAGAAGTCTTCTCTAGCTTATGCAGGTGTCACTCCTCCCACTGTTGTAAATCAGGACTAAAACGTTTCACTTGCTTTTCACCGTTGTCCCTGCAGCGATATCCAGTTTCACCAGACCCACCTCCCTGCAAAGCCTCCCTGCCTTCCAGCAGTTCCCAGAGAATCCCAATTACATGACCATGGGCACCTCCTCCTTAAACTACCCATGTGAAAAGAGCTCGGGCCAGATCACGGTGCTGCGTGTCGGGAACGAAACCGGGTGTGTTTTGGACACATCAAGACCAGATTGCAATGGCCCCCTGCCTGGCCCAGGGCCCTACAGGTGAGCAGCAATGGCTGGACTGTCGTGTTCATGTGCTAATCCCCGGGCAGCACAAGAGATCTAGGTACGCTTCATCCTGCCTCAGAACCAGGGGTGGCCTGGATGTGACCCCTTGCGGTCCCTTCCAGCCCCACAATTGACCCATCCCCAGTCCACAAGGCTTGTTACCCTGTCAGTGTGGGGTGACGCGGTAGATGTGGTATATCTTGACTTTAGTAAGGCTTTTGATACTGTCTCGCATGATCTTCTCGCCTAGATAGAGCTACTGTAAGGTGGGTGCAAAACAGGTTGGAAAACTGTTCCCAGAGAGTAGTTATCAGTGGTTCACAGTCATGCTGGAAGGGCATAATGAGTGGGGTCCTGCAGGGATCAGTTCTGGGTCTGTTCAATATCTTCATCAGTGATTTAGGTAATGGCATAGAGAGTACACTTATAAAGTTTGTGGACAATACCAAGCTGGGAGGGGTTGCAAGTGCTTTGGAGGATAGGATTAAAATTCAAAATGAGCAGGACAAACTGGAGAAATGGTCTGAAGTAAATAGGATGAAATTCAATAAGGACAAATGCAAAGTAGTCCACTTAGGCAGGAACAATTAGTTGCACACATACAAAATGGGAAATGACTGCCAAGGAAGGAGTACTGGGGAAAGGGATCTGGGGATCATAGTGGATCACAAGCTAAATATGAGTCAACAGTGTAACACTGTTGCAAAAAAGTGAACATCATTCTGGGATGTGTTGTGAGCAAGACACCAGAAGTAATTCGTCTGCTCTGCTCCATGCTGATTAGGCCTCAACTGGAGTGTTGTGTCCAGTTTTGGGGGGGCCACTTTTCAGGAAAGATGGGGACAAATTGGAGAGAGTCCAGAGAAAAGCAACAAAAATGATGAAAGTTCTAGAAAACATGACCTATGAGGGAAGATTGGAAAAAAACTGGGTTTGTTTAGTCTGGAGAAGAGAAGACTGAGAGGGGACATGATAGAGGAGGGAGAAAAATTGTTCTTCTTAACCTCTGAGGATAGGACAAGAAGCAATGGGCTTACATTGCTGCAAGGGTGGATTAGGTTGGACATTAGGAAAAACTTCCTAACTCTCTCAGGGTGGTGAAGCACTGGAATAACTTGCCTAGGAAGGTTGTGGAATCTCCACCGTTGGAGATTTGCAAGAGCAGGTTAGACAAACACCTGTCAGGGATGGTCTAGATAATACTTAGTCCTGCCTTGAGTGCAGGGGACTGGACTTAAACGACCTCTTGAGGTCCCTTCCAGTCCTATGACTCCTGTACTGGAGTGAAATCTCGTAGAACCTCCCCCTCTGCACAGAGCCAGCCCAGAGCCCATCTGTCACTTCGGTGCTATTTGGAGGGCATCCGTGGTGCTTAGACCTCCCAAATTTCATGTCTGCCACTGTGTGCTCCTGTTTGTTTACCTTTTAGGCCCATTGTGTTCCCAAGGCATTCCTTGATCTACCTCTCCTCGTTGCCCACAGGGATGGCTGATCCTCATGGGGTACAGGGGCAGATCTGGAGCTGGTGCAAACTGGGGTAACCCTAGTGACTCCGAGAGAGCGATGCCAGTTTGTGCCAGCTAAGAATCAGGCCTGTTGAGCTCAGTCCCCCGCCCCCATCTCTTGATTTTTGCATGCTTGGGATTGGCACTGCTGGGAACAGAACCTGCCACAGGCTCACCCCTTCCCTCTCCTCAGCTGCTTCCTGTGCCCCCTTGTTACCTTGAGCCCCCAGCCTGTGCATTTCCATGTCCTCTTCCCTTTTCTCTCTTCCCAGAGTGAAGTTCCTTGCAATGAGTCCTGCAACTGGCCCCAAGGCCGAGACAAAATGGTCAGCCCCGATCACGCTGAAAACAGGTAACTGACCGTACAGCCAGGGTTCTGAGTGCCCCAGGCCAGCAGTGAAAGGAGAGGGTCGCGCCGCATGTGGCCGAGACGGTGAAGCATTAGCAGGCCCCGGTGGGAGGCGTGTTTGGCCCCGGCAATCGGCCATGCCAGAGAGGTTTTGTGGGAAGCGGGTGGAGTGGGACGGACACACGAGACGAGGAGGGGCGTCTGGAGGGAGGGAAGAATGGTGCCTTGGAACTTGGGAGAGCTGGGTTCCGTTCCTAGCTCTGCCACAGGCTCCATGTGTGACCGCGGGCAAGTCACTCAGCCTCTCCGAGCCCCAGTCCCCACCTGAACTCTGGGGATAATCGTCCTGCCCTGCCGCACAGGGGTGTGGTGAGTATCAGGGGCTGAGACGCAGCTGTGAGCGGGGCCGCAGAAGAGTCTAAATGGCTAGAATGGGACATGTCTGCGTTCATCTCTATGGCCCTGGCTCAGTGACTTATAATGCCCCTCTTGTATAGGGCTTTTCCCCAGCAGATCTCAAAGCCCTGCACAAAGGAAGCTAGTGTCATTCTCCTTATTCTACAGATGGGGAAACTGAGGCACAGGGAGGTGAAATGACTTGCCTAAGGTCACCCAACAGGTCAGTGACAGAGCTGGGACGAGAACTCTCCTGAGTCTGTCCTGTGCTTTAGCCACTAGGCCACCCTGCCTCCTTCTTAACTTTAAGCACGACTGGTCCCATGACACCCACTCCATTAGGGGAGTTATTCATGCGCTTGGAGTTAAGCGCATCAGGGTCTCCCCCTCCTGCCCAGGGGGGTCCCTGCCACTGACTGTTTCCCCTCCCCCCCACTCTCTTTTCCAGGGAAGGACCCTGCCCCCATTGACACCTGGCCCAGAAGGCACAGCGCTGGTATGATTGTCATCACCACCATCCTCTCCATCCTCCTGGCCATCCTGCTGGCCTGCTTTATCACCGCGCTGGTCTATGGATGGTGAGCTCCACATCCGGGGGGGGAGGATGGGCAGGGCCTGGGTGCTGATCAGAACCGTGAGAGGCCTCCCTTCCCCTCTCTGTCACACCCAATCCTTCCCCTAGCCCCCTCCAGCCCTATGCTCTCATAGCAGGAGAAGGTCACCAGCTGGGACCCTCCCTGTCGTAGATGCTGGAACTAGGGGTGCTGCCCCCCCTCCCCGGGTTTGAAGCAGTAATAACAACCCAAGTGCATGGTTTCCGCCTTCAGCACCCACACTGCAAACCTTGTCCCAGCACACCTGCTCCCTGTGCGGGTAGGGGAGCAGCTGAACCAACGGAGGAGGGTACCTGAACAGGTGAGCTTCTGCAGAATGAGCTCGGCCAGGGACAGGTTTGACTTTCCAGCCCTTTTCTAAGCAGGTGCTTCTCTGGACTCGGCCCATCAGGCATCTGCCGGGCAACGCCTTGTGTCTTGGGCTCTTAGGTTCTCTCTCTACTGTAATCACAGGGTGCGATTGCAGTTTGAGCTCCCGTACCTGAGCCTGCTTGGATACCGCTGCCACGGCCTCGGCACGGGCTAGTCCTGCCAGGAATTATCCAGGGCTCCCGTCAGGTTCGCACACCCTGCGCTGAACCTTGGGCTGCTGAGGCATTGCCTCTCCAGGACCTGAGCTAACTCCGTTAAAGCTGGCTGGGGTGAATCACCCCCTGGGACTGCAGGCTAGATGCACCCCGGGCCGGGGAGATGAGTCTGCCGTGGTTAGCACAGCCAGTGTGGATCTGATTTCAGCACGCCTGGCTCTGGACCCACAGCTCATTAATTCCTCTCCTGCCCCAGAATAGTGCAGGCTGCGGTGGCCTGGGAGAGGTACCATGTCTTGGCTCGGATGTTAAAACCAGGTGTTCTCATGAAGATTCAAACCTGGACTGAATTCACTGTAAGGGGAGAAGCCGCATGCAGCCTGTGAAGGTCGTCCCATGTGCTGTGCTTATTCACCTGTGCGGAGATACCCCATACCTCCCCCTGATTTACCCTGAGCCCCAGTCCTTGGGGTCAGCAAAGGAGCCCAGCCCAGTGAGGGGGAACTGGAGATAAGTGGAAGGGTGGGCGGGGGAGAGAAACTGACTTGTACCGGAGTCGCAGCAGTGGGCAGAGATCTCACTGTATCTGACCCACTGGCTTAGGTTCGCCCTGCCCCACTCCCTAGAGCACCCTTTGTGGAGCCCCTCGCTCTGCCCTGATCCACTGTCCACCCTTCTTTCAGCAGTTTGGACCTTTCCGAGCGCGCGGAGATAATGGGCAAGCAGGACTCGGTGACAGTGAAGCGATACAACACCCACCATATCTACGACCAGCCTGCTTCCAAGAACTGAGGCCCTCCAGCGAGACAGCCACCCCCTGCCGCAACCCTGTTCCATCAGCCGGGAGCTCCTCGGCTTCCTCCCCGGCAAAGCCTGTGTGCGCTGTGAACAGCGCCGGGAGAGGACGGGACCCAGGGCAGTGAGCTCCAAATACTCCAGTCCCAAGCTGCAGATTCGGAACCAGGTCCTCCTCCTAGTTCTGAGCCTCCGATCACCCCTGACCTCCCCGGGGTTGGGGGGGATTTGACGTTGGCGTCCGTCGCTTGGGCGCTCCTGAGGGGGTTGGTTTGTCCCTGCGACGTGGTGATGTTTCCAGGGTCCGGGCTATCCCCTCTGCTCCGAGTGGGTCAGGGTGATGGTGATTCCTCCTGGACTGCAGTACTGCAGAGCCAGGCCCGGTGGGACCCTTCCTGGCTGGAGGATGCTGGGTCTGAGGATTCCCGCCCCCCCCCCCCCGACACACACGCACACACACACACACACACACACACCTCACTCTAACGTACCCAGCCTGACGGCTCCATGCACAGACAGGAGCAGTCACCATCCCTCCAACCTTGACCCACTGGACATGGACCCCCTTCAGATCCCTAAACCCCACCCCTTCCCGAGCTGGAGAGGTCACTGCTGAGTGTCCGGCCGCTCTCCCAAGACTTAGCCCTGTGTCGAGAACCCAGTAGCCTGGGACCAGGATTATTTCTAAGCGTGGGTCTCTGGCTGCAGAGGGCTCATCCTCGGGATAGAGCGCCACTCCTAATCCCCAGCCGGCCACATTCCCTGGCTGCCCCGATGTCTGCTGGGGGCCACGTCCGTGCCACTAATTTTGGTGCACCATTTCCCATCAGAGACCGCTAGCCCGCCTGGCCTGGGTATGGTCCTGTGTGATCAGACAGAAACTCAACCCAGACAATAAGGATCCCCTTGCAGAGCTGTAGGCAGATCCCACTCCAGCCAGGCATGGAAATCCAGACCGGGAGATAACACAGGCTCCCACAGGTGAGGTGCATTAACTCCCCCAATTAAGTTGTTAGCAATAAAGTGGGGAGGCTTCCCCTGGTTGCTGAGCCTCTGGGAATAACGGAGAAGCTGGACTGGATTCCCATGTGCTGTGGGAATGGATTCTGCCTGCAGTTTGTAGGATCCTCAGCAAGCTACCTTAACCCCCACTTTAAAAGGATTTGGGGATGGGGGTGGTTCAAAGGAACCTCAGGAAGTTAGCTGCCCTGCACCTACCTTGGAATTTCACTGCGTCTCGGGCCCCTCACTCCTCTCTGTGCTTTCGGAAATCCCAGCCAGTGTTCCCAGGGAGGCAGAGGCCAGGCCCGTGCAGCAGGGACATTCACCATTTTCTTTTTCAAATGAACAATTAAAACGGATTGTCACGAAGACAAGTTTCACTGTGAGTCGTTGCTCATTGAATGCAATCAGCCTCAGAGCCAGCTCAGCCCACTCCTGCTACCCCCCCCCCCCCCCCGCTTTCTGCTCAGCACAGAGCTGGACGGATGGAGTACGCAATAGACAATGCCCTGCCTCAAAGAACCGGGGTGTGTGTGTGGGGGGGGATTTTGAAGGCACGTTTGAGAGTTAGCTGTCCTCCTCTGGCTGCTGAACTGTCCTGGGAGCCTTAGAACATCTGCCCCGGACTAATACAGGACATGGCACAAGCCGATCCGCTGCAAAAAGGTTCGGGGGTAGGCAGGGGAGGAGAGCTGCGCGGGACCAGTGCTGAACAATTTCGTTTGAACCAACCCCCCCGAGCTGATCTCCTCCTCTGTGACGGGGCGGTATCGTTACCCCAATTCTACAGGGAGCGCGAGCCAGCCGGCACACGCGTAACCCGTGCGAATTCAGCACGGCTCTTTGTCCCCCTGTAGTGGCTAGACTGCACGTAACAATTCATGCCCCTGCCTTAGCGCAGCAGAGGCTCCTGTTCTAGATCTCCTGGGTTCAAGCCCCACTGACGCCCTGCCTAGGGGTGTCGTTACAACGGCTGACCCATACGGGGATGGGAACTGTGGTGGAGCTTGAGACAAGCGTCCCTGGCTACAAGGAAAGTATCGTGAGTGCAGGGGTAGGGTTCCAGGTGACGCTTGTCTGTGCACGGAGTGGCAGCTTTTCTGATGTACGGTTTTAGCATCGTGTTGGGGGTTTCATCCTGCAGGGGAAGGTCACAAGTTCGGCGTCTGATTCATGGTGAAAACAATCCGTTCCTCTGAGGCAGAAAAGCTGCACCGAATGTGACTCCTCTGGAAGTTGTTTCACGGGGTACCTATAAATAGCAGAGCTGGCCAAAGAGATTCAGGGGGAAAATCTTCATCAGAAAACTGGGTTTAATCAAAAAATGAATCACGCTTTAATTTTTTTTCCAATATTTCAAACCAAAATCGTATTTTTTTACCACCCCAATGTTTTCCTACTCGTGTTTCTTTTTTTCTCCCACTTCCCTGCAGTTTCCCAGCTGGCAAAATTTGTGAGAGAGTAACACGGCAGGAGATAACCTACGGTCTGGTACACAGAAAAAATTTGGAAGGGCTTTTCTCACGTTTTCTCACACATTCTTACTCTTTCCCAAATTTTGCCAGTTGGAAAACAATACAAAGTTGTGGAAAGTGGCTTTATTCCATTTCCTCACACCTTTTCCCCTCCTTTCTCTAGTAGATAAAATGTGCCCACGGAACCTTAACCCAGCCCCCTTGTGCATATGCAGTCTGATCCAGCTGTTCATTGCATATTCATAGGCTATTTTTCCCCCCACGAGGCACATTCCTGGCCCCAGGCTGACCCCCCTGCCAAATTTCAAGCCCCTGGAAGGTTCTAGAGCTTCTCACTGAAATTGTTTCAAGACTTTTCCACCAGGGGAGAATAACGTTCTTGGAAATGGCGGAACGGTTTTTGCTGAATCTTTCCGACACCAGGCGAAAGTTTGGCAAAGTTATAAGCCACTGAAAACAGGGTTTTATAAGGGCCACGGCAGGCGACTTTAACAAGAGGGGTCATTACCAGCTCTGCCTAGACGTCTTCGCTTGTCTAATGATGCCTGTTTTTATTAGGGTGCCCAGTGGCATTCATCAGCTTCCTGAGGAAGGCGGGTGGATGCACTTCTGTGCTGAGCTTTCCTGCTCGGAGTGGTTCATGGCCCAGCAGGCTGAGCTTCCCCGGTGCAAACACGCCCTTTCTCCTTTCCAGGCTTCTGACGAAGTTGGCCGCTAGATGGGGGAGTTATGCAGGTTTTGGTGCCTGATAGTGACTGATATTGGCCACTTTGCTTCACAGTAACCCTATAGCTCTGGGTCTGTCTGCAGAGAACTCCCCCCCCCCCCCCATGCAACTTATCGTAATCAATAAATGCACAAGCCGAACAGATCCCCATGAGCATGAAGAGCAAGGGGTTAAAATCTACAGGCCCTGTGGTTACAGGCCCCAGGCTAGCTGTGGGCCCTGCAGAGCTTTCTTGGTCCCCTTGGAGGGAAGGCTGTGTGGACAGAAGGGTGTGAAGAGGTTTTTTTAGTCCCAAAGTCCAGAGCCGTAGGGCACAATGCACAAATCAAAGGCTGCCGATGCCCAGATGCCATGGTGATGGGCAGCTGTAACTGCCAAGCCAATTCTCCACCAGCATCCCAGTATCTCTTCTCCACCAGAGGGCATCTCTGTCACCCATTCACTGAACGGCACAAGGGACTTCAGGTGGATTTGCTCTCCCATCCTTTCCCTGATGTTTCCCATCTGCACTCTATGGTGTAGCCAGCGCTCCCGCAGCACGGACCCACCTTGCCCTCAGGTTCCGCTGCAGGCCGATTGGGGTGGGGAGTGGGGTTAACCTCCCAGATGCGTCTGCTGGTTCTGCCACGTGCTGCCAGGGAGAGTCAGCTAAAGCCAGGCTCTGTGGCCAGTGAGCGGAGCTGAGAAGGGAGCGTGGCTCACTGGGCTCCCAGGCCAGTGCCCTGTCCGCTAGACCACACTGCCTCTGTATGCAACTGTTTATTAACATCACTTGTACTGCGGTAGTGCCTGGCAGCCCCAGGCATGGGTGAGGGCCCCCTGGCGCTAGGTGCTGTACAAACACAGCGCAAAGAGACAGCCCCTCTTCCAATGGCCCAGGCCTGTGTCTATCATTTATAGTAGGGGACTGACGCCCATGTCATCTGGCGTGTTGCCGGGCTGTGATTGGGCTTCAGCAGGTGGAGAGGTGGGTCCTTTGCTGATCATTTGAACCAATTGGTGGCAGCAGGTGTGGAAAAGGAGGCGGGACGTTTCCCAGGTGTAAGGTAGCGGACGGGGGGGGCTGGTAAAGAGAAGGGGCTCTAGGCAATGAGGCAGGCGCTACTGGGAAGAGCCGAGCAACGTTTCCGCCCCAGACTGAAGAGGGAGGTGATTAGCTCCTGCCCCACCCCCACACGCAGAGACCAGCCATGCCCCGTGAGCCAAAGCCCCTCGTTTTCAAGCAATGTATTTCATTCTTTACCAATGAGTACGGTAATTGAACAGCACTGCAGACCACGCCAGGGAGCCTATAAGAGCCAGCCAGGATTTGTCATCAGGGCAAAACTGATCAGCCGGGTTGGAGGGGTGGGTCGAGGAGGGTCCCCTGCAGGTGTGTTATAAGCTGCTGCTGGAGATGGGGTGCTAGAAATGGGAGGCCTGCGGCCTGAGCTGGTGTGGGAGGTGAACCAGGTAGGGGAATTCATGGTTTGGGCCAGCGTGGCTGCAGGTAGAGCGCCTGGGGCAGCAGGTACCCCAGTGTGGTGGGGGGTTCTGGCGCGGCGGGGGACCCAGGCTCTACGTGGGTCACTGTTCTGATCGGCGTTCTGGAACGTGCCTTGCTGCGAGGACTCTGCCTCCCTGCTGCAGGGGCCGGTCCGTCCCCTCCCACGCTGGGATGGGAGACCGAGCAGCTTAGCGGAGCGGGCTCCTCATTCGGCGCGGACGCTGGCAGCATCTGCGCGAGGGATGAGTCCCGGCGGGCGGCAATCAGCACTCGCTCCCAGGCGGCAGGCCCTCAGATTGGCGCTATTCAGTCTTCTCAGAGGTGGGGCCCGTGCGGGGGCTGGCCGGAGGGGGGGGCGGAGGGTGGTCTCCGGAGGAGCCCGTAGGCCACTCCAGCCCTGGAAACAGCTGCGAGGCGATAAATCTCCAATGGTTCGCTAGGGGCTTTGAAACAAACGCATCAAGGCTGGAGGGGCCAGGAACCCAAAGCTGCCGAGTGCAACCTGCAGAGAGGCCCATGCTGATACCTCTGCTCTGCTGACTCCGGGCCTATAACGCAGGGGAATGAGGGAAAACAAAGAGATCGAACCCAGCCAAATCCCAGCCGTGAGCATTTCGTGGCACTCAGAACCTGGTCACAGTCCGGCCACATGGAGAAGGCTCTGCCCAGCAGTCCCATGGGACTGAAAAGCTGGGGCCATATCGGGGTATAACCCCACTGTATCTGCAAGGGTCTCCCTAGCACAGCAGAGGGTAGATGGATTCTGCAGGGCCCAGCTGTGGCGACATGGCACCAGTGCGATGACAAATGGGGCTACCCCGCATCCCCCATCCCTGCAGTGCAACATCTGCTGAGTGTGGGGGGGCATGCTAGCCAGCCGCAGCCCCAGGTCCTAAACACAGGTGACTTGCAAAGACTTTGCCCCAACCCCGGTCTGGATCCCTCTCCAGCTGTCCCCATCTGATTGGCCAGTCACTCTTGGCTGACCAGGTTTAGAAACGGCACCGGTCCCAGCCGGACTCCTTTGAGGTGGCGAAGAGGCCGTTCCAAGTGCTGCCCTCGTTGGACGTGCATCTCCCTAATACACACACCCTGGGACCTTTTAGGGCACCGTGGATGGGGTCCTGGGTGTGGGAGCTTTGCAATTGCTCTGTGGCTCGCGGGGTAGAAGGCGGCTTGGAAGCTAGATGGAAATCGCTCATTTCAGCAGCAGCGTGGGCCGTACAATCTACCAGCACACCAGCCATAGATCACGCCGAAGCATGGAGGGCCGGGGGGGAGAGATAGAGCCATGTCAAAGCAGCAGGAGCAGTATCCAAGCAGCAAAGGCTACGGCCTCTGAGGTCGTAAAAGGGGAGTGGGGAATGTCAGAGCAGACACGGGGCATTCAGCCGGCCCAGTAAATCACAGCCTTTTTTCACTCTGCCAGAGTATGCTGCCTTTAAAATGCCCTCCGTGAGTGATCAGCCCCTGGACCGACTGTTGTCCTCCGGCTTAGAGAGGCATCATTGTCAGAGTGAAGGAGACAACCTGGCTAAGCAGAAAGGGGACGTGGGGAAACCCAGCCAGCTGGGGAACCGGGGAGGACAGCTCATCACCCCGCTTTAAGCCACCCACCTCTCCGAAGTGGCTGGCTGGAGCTCTGGCCAAGTCCATGGT